TAAAATAGTCAATTTATTTTGTATCAGATTATAATGAACATACTAATATCTGAAATCACAACTTCCCACAACTCAATAGCGTACTCATATCCCAACTTCAAAGGATGCTACATGAAATAAATCCATACGTTAATAGTTTTAGGGTTGCATTGCAATCGATCCGTCAAGATTTAATAAACAATTATATAATAGTCATTAAAGCTGACAGACGTCCTGTTACTAAAAAAAAATTACTGAACACCGCGGTAGCAACGTACCTGTCACTGATGAAGTGGCAGTGATATTAGTTGACCAGGAGTACGATAGACGTGACATCGTGTTGCACACACATGACGATCGACTGCCAGGGATTTATGAAACGCATCGATATTATAATGCTCTACAATATCCATTAATATATTGTCACGGTGAAAATGGGTACAATTTCGGAATTTATCAAGTTAATCCTAATACCAAAGAGACCAATTTTAATAAAAAAATATTTGCTCTGCAATTTTATTCGCACCTGTTACATGTAAAGCATATATCTTCTTGCGTATCTGCAAAGATTTCGGGGGTTGTTTTACCAATTTATAGTGGACATGTATGCGAAAATAGAGACGGAGCGCTTAGTGTATAATGTATATACGCACTAAGCAGAGACGTCTGTTACACTGACGTCTTATAAGAGATATTGATACAGTAATGATATAAATCGTTTAATACTTTCTTACCTGAATGTCAAATTCTCCAAGTAAAACCTATATACGCGAGCTACGCCGCGGGCACAGCTAGTTTAAAATAAACGCTGCTCTGCCTTATTGGGCTTCAAGTCGAGTGAGATAACAAGTTTCGTGCTATTTTAGATGTTTATTTTTAATTAATCTTAATTTGTGTTGATTGTGGTTTTAAAAGTAAGTGTTGATTAGCAGTTTAAATTTATATGTGATGTCCTTAAATAAAATGGAGGAGAATCCTCCCGATCCGGGTGGTGTTCCCGGTAATCCTTGTTCTCCCATATCAGTGGATAAGAGTAACCGCAAAGCAGTAGTGATACAATTAGCCCACAAAAAGGTTAGTAATAAACCCAGCACAACCTTTACCATCGATCCAATCTATATGTACTCACGCTGATTATATTAGAAAAAGTCTTCTTTACATCAGCTATATGTTCTTTAACGCAGGTTTTATGGATCAGAAGAATCGACGCTTTGGGGAGTCTGCAGTATGTGAACACGTACAGGATTACATTACATTTGATAGACCACAAATTCTCGCTAAAGAACACTGATTCCTTCCAAGGATGATTCGCGAGGCTATTGAAATCAAAAAACATCCTAATTTCAATAGAGAAGATGGCTGGGTGCTACCATCTGCTTGGGATCCCATAATTAATAAAATTAAATCCCAACCCAAGCATACAACTGCAAGACTTCAAGATACTTTAAGTTCATACTTCGTAGATCGGACCAAAATATATAATTTTAAATCTGGAGCATAGACTAATATGATGCTTACGCATATCTGGAGGTAGCGTAGATAGAGGTACAAAGTCTATGGGAGGTAGCCTTGGTTAACTATGACATACGTAGTATCCACTAAGTAGTCTGTGACTATGACATTCTAAATCTACGATGACATTGGGACGTCATACACCTCAGTCCAAAGAGTATAATAAGTATATACAGGAAAAGAGAACCCTCTGACGATATTTTATTGCAGACAAAACTGAACTACTAGCGTCTTCTACAAATTGAATCCAAACTAATTTTGCTATATATAGCGATATATCATATACATCATATTTAAACTATTATGTTCTCTAATTCGTATACTTACTGAAACAGTTCCTACTTTTTTGTTAAACTAATTTATACTTTTAATATTAAAAGCTGTTAAATAGTTTCAATAAGTACACATGTATTTTTGAGATAATAATATATAGAAAGGGCATTTGCAATGAAACAAGAATGAAAATTTAGTATGACAATTATTTCATTTTTTATTTTAATATTATGCTGGTTGCCAGTATCATAATTATCATATTTATCGATTGATTCGATAATTATGACGTATTTTCATGTTAAAATTATTTTTTTATTAATAACATCACCAATAATTTTTTGGTGCGCTTATATTTATTTTGTAAGTAAATTACATTTTAATTTTCTAATGTAGCGACATCTGTAAAGCCATAAGATAAACTATAAACAAAAATTTTTTGGAAACAATTTATGGATGGCGCCACCATCCATCGAATTTTTGTGGTTCAAAACCACTGTCCTACGCCTGGGGTTAGCTACCATGGGTGCTGTAAAGTACTAGAAACGTCGGGAATATAAAATAAGTTAATATACGCGAAAAAATCCGTAAAAAATACTAGTTTTATTTAAATGTGTAGTGTTCGCGTAAATATAAGAAATCATTAGATGAAGGTTCCACAAACCATATTTTTTTTCAACTGTCCAAGCTATCTTCCTTCCTTTATGATTACCTTCCTCCTTATATTCCTCGACCTTTAGATTTTAATTATCTTTAAACATATACAAGTATCTACTCCTTTTGTGTATATTTTATGTGATTTTATTAATACTAATACGAGGGTGGATTGAAAAGTACTCGGCCTAACCAAGAAAATAAACAAATACTAAATCAGTTATATTTTTATTTTTCTACATAATCACCATCAAGTTCAATACACTTTTGCCACCTCCCCTTCCAAGCATTTAGACCGTTGAAAAAAAATGATTCTTCCTTAGAGTCAAAATATGCGTCTACAGCTGCTTTGACCTCGTCGTTTGTCGAAAATCTTTGACCTCCCAAGTGCTTTTTTAGGTTAGGGAACAGAAAGAAGTCTGATGGTGCCAGATCAGGTGAATACGGCGGATGCGGTAACAGTTCAAAGCCACAGTTATGAATTTCAGCCATTGACTGTACTGACGTGTGAACACGGGCGTTATCTTGATGAAACAGGACTTTTCTTCTGAGCATTCCTCGACGTTTTTCTTTTATTTCCTCTCGTAAACGACGTAGTAAGGTGCAGTAGTAATCAGAGTTTATATTCTGACCCCTTTCAAGATAATCAATCATAATCACACCTTTCGAGTCCCAGAATACTGAAGCCATCACCTTATTTGCCGACAAAATCGACTTAGCCTTTTTAGGGGGTGGTGAACCAGGTCTTCTCCACTGTTTTGATTGTTGTTTTGTTTCCGGTGTACAGTAATGAAACCATGTTTCGTCCATAGTAACAAAACGATTCAAAAAATCATCTGCATCGGCTTCAAATAACTCCAAACAGTCGCGTGAAATAGTCAATCGCGTCCTTTTTTGTTCAACTGAAAGCAGTCGCGGAACCCACCTCGCAGACACCTTGTGGAAACCCAACTCGTTGACAATGATGTTTTGAGTTCGTTCATAAGAGATGCCTATAATCTCAGCTATCTCTCTAATTTTTAATCTGCGGTCTCCCATTATTAAATCAAGTATTTTTTTAATATTTTCGTCAGTAGTTGACGTCGAAGGCCTTCCAGAGCGGGGTTCATCTTTCACACTCTCTCTACCACGCTTAAATTCTGCTATCCATTTTTTGACGGATGAATATGACAGAGCACAATCGCCTAATGTACTGACCATGTCATCATGGATGGCTTTTGATGATAGCCCCTTCTTATGGAGGTACTTAATGACGGCACGCTGCTCGATTTGCTCCATTCGCGGAAATTATGTCCGATTACTTTGTTAATAAATTTATAAAATCACAACTAATTATCGCACACGTTTCGAACTTCACACAATGAACTAGTCTGAACTGAACTAAATAATGTGGATAGATTTGATTTTTAGAATTGAATGGATCTGTGTTAGGCCGAGTACTTTTCAATCCACCCTCGTAACATGAAACATTAAATCCTTGTCCCTTTTAACATACTAATAAGATCCTAACACACATGTTTGTCATTTGTTCTAGGAAATTCAACAGATAGATTTATCAAAATTCTAGGAGGAAAAATAAATCCTTGAATTATTACAGACTCTTATTTTAATTAAACTCATACGCTTTCATCTTGCACTCAATACGTCATTGGCGAATTTTACCAAACCGCCACAAAAAAATTTATAAAAAAAGTCATTTTATCGAACCAAAATTGATTAACTATCATTGTGGTACGTATAAAATGTAGTAGATGACACTATTACTCAAATGCGATTACTCTTTCTAAAATAAATACGTGTAACTTGGTTTTAATATTGTATATTATGTAATTACTATTATATAAATTTAAGTTTAACCACCATTTACCGCCATTAACTGTGTTTAGAAACTTGACAGTTATTATAATTTATGAATAATAAGCGTGCTCTCTTGTGAGATAAAAATAAGTCTAGCCTAGCGTTTCGGAATAAGCACAAAAAAAAAATATAATTTTGTTCTTACAATAATGTTCTAAGTTGAATACCCATAACGGTACTTTTAACACAAACTGTTAAAATTGATAAAAGGATTCTTAGCAACGGTGTAACGTTATTCACCATTCACATTCATTAAATTATTAATTATCTGTGACGCTAAATCACAGATATAATTAGTTTTAAGTTTTGACTTATTTTTAAAGTAATAAAATAAGTTAAAAATAATTATGAAAATAAATGATTTTATAATATTTATTGCGAAGAATCAGAATCATTTTATTAAATTTAATAGTTTGTAATAAAAGGCGTCCTACAATTTACATTGAATTGAATCGTATTTTAAAATGGCGGAAACCATGATGGCTTCTATTTCTTTTCTGTTTGAAAAGCAATCTGCAAAATATAGCTTTCTCCTTCTATCTTGCAGAAGTGGCCATAAAAAAGTAGGCACGCGTAGTGATCAATATGTCCACGTGACCTGTCTTCACTTCACTTCAGTCTCGTACCATTCGCAACTCGCGTAATTGCAAATGCAAAATGTGGAAACGTTTATTTTGTAGAAAAGTCATATTATATTGTGGTTAAGTTATTGTGTTACGGTTTTTAAAATGCCACCATCAATTGGTGTTAATTTACGCGTTACTGGCCACTGTAGTCAAGGCGGGAGAAAGTACATGGAAGATTTGTTTTCCGTTGCCTATCAACAAACGGAAGACGAACGGGATTTGGAGTATGCTTTCTTTGGAATATATGATGGACATGGCGGGAGTGAAGCAGCAGCTTTTGCTAAGGAGCATTTAATGGATTCTATTGTTAAACAACGACAATTCTGGTCGGATAATGATGAGGACGTTCTGAAAGCTATTCGAAATGGTTACATGTTGACCCACTTGAACATGTGGAAAGAATTAGGTAAATATAAAATTTCTTTAGTTACCTAGTTAGTTAGTTACCTAGTTCTGGTTTACATAATATTATATCTTTTTATGAATCATGATGACCTGAGTTTCAAGGAGAGATATCGGTGATTGTACGAAATGTTTTACTTGACCTTGTTGTATATGCTCACTCTTTTTTTTCTAGTGCTTTGACATTGAGCAACTATGATGGTTTCAATTCAAATGGTATTTCAAGATACCGATTTTAGTAGTTAAATAACATTGGCGACAACAATCTTATAAATAATTATTGCACAAGTTTCGAGGATTCCCACACATATTGTAGAAGTGAAAGCAGTATTACCAGTTTTACTTTAAATCAGTTTGTTTCCTCTTGCCAAAATTATGAAGTTATAGAGAGGTCATTTCAGTCACAAAGATATAATTCTGTTGGTATATTATAAGATTTTGCTTTATGAACTGGTAATATTTTTTTTTTCAGAAAAATGGCCCAAAACTGTAACAGGGTTACCAAGCACTGCAGGTACTACAGCCAGTGTGGCTTTCATTCGTCGTGGAAAAATATATATAGGACATGTAGGTGACTCTGCTATTGTCTTAGGATATCAAAAAGATGGTTAGTTTTTTAACATAAGTATTGTTAAAATATGGATCTATATAATTTTAGAAATATCAGCATGTGTTTTTTTAATAAGAATCTGCAACAGGATAAGTAAATAGCAATAAAACTTATTCAAATAGTTATGTATCTAATATCCACTACCCCATATCATGCCGTGGGTGTCATAAGAGGCGACAGAGGGAAACAAATCAGGAGATGGGAAGCAGCGTCTTCCTCATAACAAATAAAAATAAAAACTGGTTGCCAACCCACTTGTAGTGCAACCAAGTGTGGCAACTATGACAAATAGGGGGAATTCCCATGAGGCAATCTATGGGGGAGTCCTATGTTCAGCAGTGGTCATTAATAGGCTGTAACGGTAACGGTAACTTGTTACAACCTGTGATTAAAATAATGTTGTTGGGGAGCATAGAACTACTTTGATTTGTAGTTGGATCCTGATCTTTTCTGTTTTTGCTGCTAGGCAGCAATGTATCCAATAACTACAGGCTGTGAGAAACACTGTCTTACAAGGGGTAAGGTACAGATGACAATTAAACAGTAGCCTACTTTATTTAAAGTTATAACATGTGTCTGTGGCTATAGTTGTCGCCATTAGATGGATTGCTAACTTGTTAATATTATTGTACATTTCTAAATAATCTAATAAGTACAGTTGAAAGTATATTAAGTATATAGGCTTCTGATATGCTTCTTTAAGCTCCATCTACACGCACTGACAAACAATTTGTGCAAAAAAATTGTACAATCAACATGGTGCACTGCACAACGTCAACATAATAGTGTCAACAGCAAGCAGTTTGTACAAAGTTTTCGCAAAGAACATGTGTGGTGTCCATATACCAACTTAACGTACATGCTTGCTTGTGTAACAATAGCTTATGGATACTGAGTTAAGATATAACAACATTTTGTTTGTAAGGTCATAAGAGTTTTTTACCCTCATCAATATTTTAGTTAAATGGAAAGACAGGAAAACTAGAACATTTGTATTGTGAAATAGTGTAAGTAATATGGTGGTTGTGATCTATGGCTCAACATGAATATTGAGACATTTTTATTATGCAAGTAGACATTTTGTGTACAAAATATTACATGATTATGCTCTATCGCTGGTTGCCAACCTGTCTGCCTAGCAATGGAACTATGGTAGATATCCCCCTTATGTAGCAATATATGCGAGCGCCATTCAGCATTAGACTTTGGTAGGCTTAATGTATTAATTAAAATGCTCTATAGTATACTACACATAAAATAATTGAAGCAATTTGCTTATGTTTGATATTTACAATAAGGGCTTTACTATAGATAGTTACATAATTTCATATAAGAAATTTATTTTAACTTTTTCTATTAATTTCTGTGATTATGGTTTAATTATATTTGATCATTGTTTTAATGAATTTTATTGGACAATTTTTTTCAGGATGTGAAGAATGGGGTGCAAAACCACTGACCTCAGATCACAAGCCAGAATCAACAACTGAAATTGAAAGGATTCAAAGATGTGGTGGCAAAGTTATTACCAAAGCAGGAGTACCCCGGGTTGTTTGGAACAGGCCTCGTATTGGCCACAAGGGACCAATTAAAAAGAATACTCCAATGGATGAAATACCATTTTTAGCTGTGGCAAGGTCTTTAGGTGATCTTTGGAGCTATAATCCTCAAAATGATGAGTTTGTAGTGAGCCCAGATCCTGATGTTGGAGTGTTAAATATTGATCCATCTAAGTTTAGGTGAGCAGATGTTTCTTATGTGAAACATGTAATAACATTAAAAGTATATAGTTGTATATTTTTTTTTATAGGATAAGGGTGACAAACGAGCACACAGTCCACCTGATGGTAAGTGGTTGCTGCGGCCCATAGACATCTACATCTATCTTCGATTACCGTACCGACCCGTGAGGACTAAGTTGGAATGCCTCATTTCCAGTAAAAAGGGTCTCCGGTTCTCTACACTCACCATACGAAACACAGCAGCGTTAAGCTGCTATTTTACGCTGGTATTCTGTGAGAGCGTGGTCCTTCCCTGGTCGAGCCAACCCATTCATGCTACAACCATAATATAGCTGCAGCATGGCTCTACCACGTATAGATTATTATATTATATTTTTCTTTTCTTTTAAAAACGTTACCCCCACACTAGAATTTTCTCCTGTATTGTGGAGGCAGTTTACAAACATAAATTGGCTGAGGACAAACATTCAGACCCGGAACAATTATTTGTAGGCCATACAAATACTTGTTCCATGTGGGATTTGACCCGGCGGTCTATATATAGTTCTTTTGTCGCTTATAGGCTAATTGCCATAGCCATTCAGTGTGGAAACACAGCCATCATTCTTGGTACAATACCACAGGGAGTAGGACTGTAGGATAATTTAAGGTTATAGATTTTTTATTGCTTATAGTTTTTTAATATTTTTTTTATAGAATAAGGGTGACAAGCACACAGTGCACCTGATGATAAGTGGATGCTGTGGCCCATAGATATCCACACTTATCCTCAATTAAGAATCAAAATGCAGATGAGATACATTTTTGGTGTTCATTGTTTTTAATAATAATGGTGTATTGTGTATACAGTTTAACATCATCTACTTTATTTAAAAGCTAAAGTCTAATAGTAATTGAATGAGACTGTAACCGGAAATAATATTTTTGGTAAATAAAGTAATCAGATTTGCAATAGTTGTAGACATTTTAAACAAATAATTCTACATTATATTATATTTTTAGGTGTTTAATTTTTGGCACTGATGGCCTATGGAATATGATATCACCAGAGGGAGCAGTAAGCTTAGTTCAAGCAACGGAACGCCATAATGAAGCTGCGTTAGTAGGAGGCAATGGTAGTCAGCCACGGGATTGGCTTAATCCTTCAAAGAGTCTAGTGGACCATGCTCTAGAGAGGTAACTGTATACATTTTAGTAAAGAACCATATTTTGTAGCTTTTCTTGGGTGAGGTTTATTATCAGCAGTGGTTTTATTTAGGGCTAAAAATACGGATGATATAAAATAATACCAAAGCAAATAGAACAATATAAAAGCATTGGGAAATAGAGTGAGAATATTGTATTCTTTTTATTTATATGTTTGGTTAGAGCCCACCAATACAGCAATCAATTAGGCAATTTTTCATTATCTCAATTTTTACAAATATATTGATATATTAGCCACCTTTACACATACATTTTATAACGCCTGAATCAACTTAAACATAGGAAAAGGAACGCGAACGAACGCGCGGGTCGACCGCTCGCGCATCCCATCATAATCATAACTTAGTCGTGCATTCAAGTCTGTGCACTTTAAACATAATTTACACGCACGGTTTTGTGAAAAATATTGCTGTCGTAAAATGGCGGACATTAGATTATGTTGCAAGGATCTTCTTACAGAGTTCTTCGCAATATACAAATCTCAAGCATGCCCTCTTGTGTTTGATTTTATTTAATAACTTATTAAAAATAATTTAAAATTTCGTACAATCGACTTCAATATAAATTATTAAGAATAACTCAAAAACTATTGGTCAAACTTTGATCAAATTGCCCACATGAGAAGCACCTGCTATCAAATAAAAAAACAATCATCTAGATCAGTTTAAAAAGTTATGAGGTAACATACATAAAAAAATTAAAAAAAAAACATACAGTCGAATTGAGTAATGTCTCCTTTTTTAAGTCGGTAGAAAAATTAATAAATATAATATAATCTATTTAACACTTATAACAGCAAAACATAATTGCTTGTGTAATATTCCTTCTAACCCTTTTGTCTATTTCTTTAGACCACTAGTGTTCAGAACTCGCATTTAATAAAACTGCGTGATTTTCATTATTAAAAATAAATGCTCATATTGATCATATTAAAAGATAGCAGTTACTCAGGTTCTACAGTTTTCTATCTGTGAAATATTGCGATTGGATCAACAGTTCCAGAAATTGCCTCACTTAACCAAAATAAGTCAAAACATAAAACCAACTACCTTTTTAGTGCAGATAATGGTGGTGGTACTATTAAATAATTGTTTTTAAATTTCATGTTGATACTGAGGTTATATTGATTGTTTGATATGTTTACATTTTTATTTTACTAAACTTATAATATTTTTTATTTGTCCTAAATATTTTACATATTTTGTGCACAGTACTGTGATAAAGTCATCTAGTAAACAAAAAATTGGATGTGCTAGACATCTTTGCTTTTCCATAGCAACTAGTAGTACTTTAATTTATAACTAACCTTACTCATTTTATATTTAAAAAATGTTGTGAACAAAATTCTTGTATGTAATATGTGTTCCATATTCTGAGTGTGAATAAAAGTATAAAGAATCAAAAATTTAACTATTTAACAATATTTATTATATAATAAATTTAATGCAATACAATTATAATGAAGGTTATGTATTATGTTGTAGATGGTCGAATACTCGCATGAGGGCAGACAACACGTCGGTGGTGACGTTGATGCTGGATCCTCCGGGGCCGCCGCGTGCCACCGTGCTCCGCTCGCGTGGCACTGCCCCCCTCTCCCACTCCACTCTGTCCGCCCCCACCACCACCCCCGCATCAGCTCCCGCACCCGTCCCTTCGCCTGCTCCCGCGTCCGTATCCACTCCTTCATCTACACACAGGCCAGAACACGCCAAGCCCGACGCCGTCGAAGCCGACACGCGACAGGTGCCGCAGAACGGACTCACCATCATGACCAGATACTCCGACGTGGATAGACCTGCCCCTTCGTCGGAAAGCACGGAGAGAACTCCGCTGCCCCCGTGCGCCACTCTGGACGGCCGGTTCTCGACGTCGACAAGAGAGGAGGACCGGCACGAAGAAGACGAGGAGAGCGCGATCACCAATTACGGCAATCCGTCCGAGTCGTACTTTATGGCGCGTCTGTTGAATCGGACTAGAGTCGTGAACACGCTGTCGGAGGTGTACGAGGAGATCGCGAGCGGGAGAACGCGCGAGAGCTCCGAGGAAGCGTTGCCCGCCGCGCCCGAGCTCGCGGGTGGCGGGGACGCGGGCGGCGCGGGGGGCGCGGGGGACGTCACGCGCGCGCCCGACCCCGAGCGCGTCGCCGACGCCGGAGACGCGCCGCCCGCGCCCGACGAGCGGCGGGAGCGAGACGGCAGCATCCAGATCAACGAGGTGTCGTCCAGCTCGCCGAGCGAAGCGCCGCGGCCGCGCGGACGCAGGTCGAAAGCGGAGAAACGCGAGGTCGCTCCGCACGATCGCGTGCTGCGCTCGCACCACGACCACGACACTCGGCCGCACACGCGGCAGGCGAGCACCCGCGCACCTCCCCACCCTCCCCCGCTAGACCGAGTCGTCATCCTGACGCGGCGCGGCCCGCAGGTCGCGCCCACCCCCTCCCCCGGGCCCGGCGCGGCGCAGCCGGTCGTGTGCGAGGGGAGACGAGCGACTCGTTCGCAGGGGGGCGGGGCGTGCGGGGCGTCGCGTGCGGGAAACTGTGCGCGCGCCCCGGGGCCGGCGCGGCGGGCCCCGGCGGCGCACTGCAAGGAGAACCTGTGCGGGGGGGAGGCGCGGCGCGCGGCGGGGCGGGGCGCGCGCGGCGGGGCGGCGGGCGGGGCGGGCGGGCGGCCGCGCACGCCGCGCTCGCCGCGCCGCGCTGACGACGCGGAGGTGCACTCCACCACGGGCTGGGCGCGGGCGCTGCGCTCGCGCAACGACGCCGAGCCCGCGCCGCCCGCCGGCAAGCGGCCGCGCTGCGAGCCGCCGCCCGCGCCGCCCGCCGCCCCGCCGCCCGCCCCGCTGCCCGCCCCGGGCAAGCGCGCCGCGCAGTGGGCGCCCGCGCTCGCGATACGCAATCGCCTGCGCCGCCGCCTCGGCAAGTAGCGACGGACTCGCTGCGGTGTTCAGTGATGTGATGTTAAAAGATGTTACCTTTGAGTGCGCGCCGGTGCCTTTTAGTATTGCCGAAGTGCTCTTTGACCGTTTACATTTTGTTGGAGCGCGATCCGCGCCGCGACTCGATATATCCAAAGATGACCGCCCCGGTGCGGTTGATTTTCTGTTGTTATTATTTTCTATTTTATCACTTGACCGAACGCGCTCCTCGGAGGTCGTATAGATTTCACGTTGTTAGGTCGTTTTTCGTGGGGCGCTCGGACTCCTAGGTTGTTGCGAGCCGACGGCGCAGTGTTTCTATTACCGATCGACGGTCAACAATAGTACAAAGAATTTATTGAATAGTTACACGTAAGACGAACACGAGGACCACGCGATAAATTAGCCCAAATAGATATTTATTTTATCGATATTTATAGCACTTATTGTATGCATTTAACTTAAAGATGGCATGGAAATTTAATTTTCATTGCGCTTGTGTCGTGTCAGAGGCTACGTTAAAATTTTCAGATGAATATTATTATACATGCTCTATTGTGAAATTTATTGAATATGGAGGACGTTCATTGTGTTATTGACGCTGTGTGCGACGCTACAGAGATATAGAAGACATGATACCAAGAGTGCTTTTCTCAAATATCGAAATATTTATATAATGATAAAAATATTTAGCTAAAATTATGCAAAGTAGATTTTGTACAGTAAACTACACTAAATTCTCTTATTTTTCTATATAATTAGCAATTTGTAAGTTATTCTTTTGGGAAAAGAATTATGTTTAATGATTTTACAAACAGAGATCTATTATAACATGAATTGATGACAGCAAGTGTGAATTGAGATAAAATAAGTAGCCTTCAATATTTTAATATACACCAAACAAAAGTAATAATTTTAGATCAACATATCCTCACTATTTTGCCTTATTATGATAGTTTCTTTCCTATCAGACTAGAGATGGGAGGGAGCCAGTGCATTGTTTTTGTTTGTACAGATGTCTCCTGTAAAATCTATTACTTATTAAGGTTTTTTTTTACCAATCTGAAGCTTCTATTTTGTTACTATCAAAGTAAAATATATTGTGATGACGAAACCATTGATTTATTTTTACAACCAAACCCATAATGGGTTGTGTGTTACTGCAATTTTGTTGATACTGTAAATTTCATTATTTTTAAATTATTTAATAATGAAGTATTTAGACCTATTTGACATAAAGTACCTAATTGTGGACTGAACTTACTATAGTTATGTATTTTAGAGATCAGTCCTATGTACTAGGCTTATGTACATATTTGTACTGTTGAAAAGGAAATATTGTAAAATAAATAATGTGCCTCATTTGTTACCGACTTAACAGCAAATAAATAGGAGAAAGTGTTCTTTGATAAAAAGAGATATAAAGTATTTTTTATTAAAATAAATTTTATGCTGTGTAATTTAGCTGTAAAAGAGGATCTAATATAATTTGTTAAGATAATTATGTAACAAAGGTTTAGTGAATTTTGTTTGCTGTTATTGAATTACAATATGGTTGAATTGTAAATGCAAGAGTCAACAATCTACGTAGTGAATCATAGAGAAGAGAGAACAAAAAGTCAACAAGTGCAATATAATTTCAGCGTAGCAACAAAATGCAAGCCATATAAAGGAAATAAAGTTTCAAAGTGGGACTCTTGTATAATCTTGTAAAACAGCCAGTTTATGTTCTGTTCAATGTATCATTAATTTGATTTCAACAAAGGAATGTTACGTATACAAAACGAGTTTGTATTCGAGGGTAAAATAAATGCCTTGTGTAGGATACTAGAACTATGGTGGTTACAGCAATCTTTTAATAAGGATTGGAAAACTAAAGCAAATTTTATTACTATACATATTAATACTAAATGAAAGATTACTGTAGACTTTATTTTTTGATTTAAATAAAGTTTGTATAAAATATATGCTTGTATTTTAATATGCCCGTTAATACAAAAGCGAAATGCGGAAGCCGCAACCGGAGTTCCCGAGGTCCCCGTTACGCCGGGATGAATGAGTATCAACCCGCCCTTTATTTACGTAACATCTGTCACTCGGGAAACGCAGTTGTTCACCCTACTATTTGAACTTTTTGGTTATAGTTTGGGCGAGCTCTACTCTAGCGTCGTCGCCCCTCGCCGGCCGGTCAGTTACGCGACGAACGTAGTAAGTGCCGCATCACTTCAGAAGCTTGTGTATTGTGAATTCAAAGTTTATAATAGTGTAATTTATTAATTAACATGGGTATCAATACGAGTGAAATTTAATTTGAACACGAGATATAAAATCAGACTAATAAATGTTATTGACAGTGAAAAACGCGGGAAACGGATAGAGATGGAGATTTTTATCGCGTTTGGTTTATCGATCGTGTCTCGGCACTGCAGTGCGTTCTAAGGGGTTGATAATTATTAGCATACAATTCTGCTTACGTTTTCTATGTTCTTAACTTAACATGATGTTAATATTCGTCAAAAGTATTTAAAAATAAATGAATATTTATGCAATATAAAATAATTAAACTTAGGGGTGGATGATACGTAGTAATTAAGATAAGGTTTCATTGGTTATATAAATTCAAAATTTCAATAGTTTTACACGTGCAAGAGGCATGTTGCAGCTATATTAGTAGTATAGTTGTAGCACGAATTGGTCGGCTCGACCGGGGAAGGACCACGCTCTCACAGAATATCTGCGTAAAATAGCAACTCAATGCTGCTGTGTTTCGTATGGTGAGTGTAGAGAACTGGATACCCTTTTACTGGATACGAGACGTTCCATCTTAGTCCTCAAAGGTGACAACGCATCTGCATTTTGATTCTTAATTGAGGATAAATGTAGATGTCTATGGGCCACGGCATCCACTTACCATCAGGATGGCTGTGCGCTCACTTGTCACCCTTATTCTATAAGAAAAAGTTATATACTATACGAATTATAATACACTAATATTTACGTAGTAACATTATTTTTAATCTGTGCTAATATACAGTCAGTTCGCATGCTGTAATCGTCCAACTTGCTCTGCTAGTTTTTTTTTCTGTTATTACTATGATCGACATATTTTTGACGGTACGATCAACTATTTGTTAAATTTGAATAATATTTTGGCATTCTAAAAATATAAAAAAGTAAATTATTGTTAAAAAATTTACACAACCGCATCACAGTGATAACTTTTTAAATAAAATTGGAAGTAAGAAGCGTACTAAACTTGCTAAGTTAGCTAGCTGGAGTTCTAGGGTAGAGAAACCAAAACCTTTTACGGGCTAGGGCCATGCTGCAGCTATATTAGTAGTATAGTTGTAGCACGAATGGGTCGGCTTGACCGGGGAAGGACCACGCTCTCACAGAATACCAGTGTAAAATAACAGCATAACGCTGCTGTGTTTCGTATGGTGAGAGTAAAGAACCGGAAACCATTTTTACTGGAAAAGAGGCATTCCATCTTAGTCCTCACGGGTGACAACGCATCTGCATTTCGATTCGTAATTGAGGATAGATGTAAATGTCTATGGAGCACAGCAACCAGTTACCATCAGGTGGACTGTGCTCGTTTGTCACCCTTATTCTATAAAAAAAAAAACCTCTGGACAGTATTCTTAGCTAGCTAGACAATAGGATTTTGGCAGGAAAATAAAATCAACACAAACATGTATCTGAGATTAACTACACTAGAACTTTTGTCAACTTCGGTTCACATGAGTGGCTCCAGCCAGGAACATCTCTAACGAGAAAAATGCTTTGCAATTTTAGCGAAACATTTTGCCTAAAACCGGGTCGCTGGACAACGTACGAAAAAGCTGGATAGTCCTGGCAAGTCGCACCCATCTGGCTACCCTAGTCCAATCGGATTATGAGAGTGAGAGAATAAAGGAGGTACCTGTGCTTGTGCTTACTCGTGCACCATAATACTGCTCCGATGGCCAGTTTCCATTAAAGTTGATCGCCGTGACTACCCAGTGATAATGCCGTCGGTCTGGAGGGCATTCTCACTGGGCTCGTGATTATGACATGTCCTCACTCTGTAATGTGGCGCAGGGGTTAGTAAAGTGAAAATACAACCTATATACGTCCTGGTACTGAACAGAGGCAGCCTCTTATTACAGAGAGGGTTTTTTTTTTATAGAAAAAGGGTGACCAGCGAGCACAGGCCACCTGATGGTAAGTGGATGCTGTGGCTCATAGATATCTACATTTATCCTCGATTTAGAATCAAAATTCAGATGCGTTTTCACTCCTGAGGTCTAAAATAGAATGCCTCGTATCTAGTAAAAAGGGTTACCGGTTTTCTACACTCACCATACGACACAATACATATTTTACGCTGGTACTCTTAAAGATGTTAAAAATTAATTAACGAAGATCCGCGTAATAAAATAAAAATAAAGTGATGTGTCTTGCCTAGTTTAAAGAGCACCTCCCGCACTCCCTAAATTGCCTGCGTTATCCCCGTCACCACTAATCCCAGCATCACTACACTAGTAGGAAAGACACCACCGTCGATAATACGACACGTGTTTGGCCTCTACACGAGACATCCTCAGGTGAGTAGACTGCGGTGGCTGAACGCTAAGCGATGGCTGCTATTCTGTAAGACCGTGGTCCTTCCCCTATCGATTCGCTCATTCGTGCTACAACCGTAATATATCTGCAACATGGCTCTACCACGTAAAATAAGGTTCGTGGAGAGAGGTTGCGCCGCTCAAGCAAGTTGCTGTTGTTGTTGGCGGACTACACTTGGCTTGGCAATATTGTTATTCTCAGACATCGACGTTGTCCTCAAAATGTTTTCTTTCACCGCCAAAATGGTTAATTGAACATTACGTATTCAATTCTATATCAAACAGAAACTTTTATTCAATGTAGATTATAAATAATATTTATTGAAAGTCACTATGTTTAATTACCACTTGTTCTGAAAAAACCTGTCCTGGGAAGAACCAGCAAGAAACCCAGCGGGAGAT